TATTCATTATTGTGGTGATATGGATCCCACTTTTATTGGATGAAGCACATGCATTTGCATGTGGAAATTTTAAATTACAACAATTATTATTATTATTATTAAATTTTGTATTCCATTTCTATCATAAATAAAATTAATTTTTATTTTTATTTAATATGATGAATAATATACAACATTTTACTTATAAATTTTAAATTATACATTTCATCTATATTATATAAATTATTACTTATCACACTTGATTTTTGTTTGTATGAATTTTTATATTCTTTTGTTTACATGTACTTTTTTACATTTTAAAGATTTAATATTTAACTATCATATCATCAATTAATCTATTTGACCCAAACCGCTAACCCACCACCCAAAAAGAAAAATAGTTTGATTTCTATGTTGACATTAACTTTTGTATTACATCTCCATCATTGATAGAATTATTATAATACTTATTTTTGTTCAAATAATGAATGCATAATATTCATAATATTATAATTGTACTCAATATTTTATTTTTTATAAATATATAACATTAGATATGTGCCCAAATTTTTCTCTATTTTTTTTATTTTAGTGATTATGTGTATTTTTTATTTTTAAAATTTTATTATTTGACTATGACATCATTTTATTTCTAAGTTGATTTTAAATTTGGCATTCCATTTTCATAATTAATAAAAATACTTCTTACATTTAATACTTATTTTGGTTTAGCATAATAAATATACAATATATTTTATTTGTTTTATTTTTTATTATTTAATTTTGACATTATTTATTAACCCATTTGACGCCAAATGGTTGAATATGTGTATTGCTTACCCACCACTGGGAGGGAAGAAAGTAGTTTTGTTTTCAAAATATTTATTTTTATACTATTAAAATTAATATTGTAGATTTAATTAACAGATTTTGATGATAAGAAAAATATATCTTAAATATAGGATTTAATGAGAGAATATACCTTAGATATGAGATTTAATTTGGATGTAATTAGTAGATCTTAATGATAAGAAAAATATATCTTAAAAATAGGATTTAATGAGAGAATATATCTTAGATATGAGATTTAATTAGGCTACGTTTGGAATCAGTGTAAATCAAGAAAGATGTAAAAGTTTACACCGATTCTATTTTGTCGGCGTTTGGAAGGAGTATGTAATCATGATCGACATAAAACTCCACTCCGGTTCAGTTTTGTGTGTGTTTGGATGGAGTGGAGTTTTACATCGTGAATCGATGTAAAACCTCATCAAACGTAAAGTTTTACATTGATTATCGATGTAAATACTACATTGATAAAAGCGGCGTAAAACTTTACACCGATCACATCACACTTTTCAAAAGTGCAACGATCACTTCTTCACGGTTCAGTGTAAAAGTACACCAATGATGTTTTACACCGATTCCAAACGCAGTGTTAGAGAGAATAGGAAAACAGTTTTATTTCCAATTGGTTTTAAATTTTACATTTCATTTTCATCATTAATAAAAACATTTATTAATTTTCATACTTATTATTGTTTAATATGTTGAATATATGATATTAAATTTTACATTTATTACTTTTTCAAGGTTGATTTTAAAAGTATAAGTTTTTATGTTATTAGAATTATTAATTTATTATGTATGGATTTAATTAACAGAATTTAATGATGAAAAGAAATAAAAATGAATTAAATATATAATTAAATGAAGGTGAATGCAAGTTAATACCTTAAATGTTCGATTAAATGAGAGGGAATTGAATGCATTTGAATATCTTAAAATAACATCTTTTCATCTCATTTAATATCAATAACGAATTACCCTATTTGCCCTCATCTTTTATCAATAAATTTAAAAATGGAGGAGTAAATTTTGTCGTCAAAAAATTCTAAAAATATTCTTGGGGCTATTTGTGCTTTTTAAAGTAGTATATATATAGTCTTAAAGCAAGCCTACTGTTTTTGGCAATTGACATCGTCGTTAAGTGTGTTAACAAAAAAATAAAATGTCAATTTTTCCTTCCATTATTCCTCAAATTTTCAATATAAAACCCTAAAATTTCAAAAAGATAAGAAGCAAATCATTGTTTCGTCTCCATCTCCATCTCCTACTCTATGAGGATCAGCTCCGGAAAGAAACATACACAACAAAGAACACGAGGAAGAGGACTGATTATATAGGCTTTGGTCAACTTTGGATGGATTCCACTCATCGGCCCATGGTAATTATCCCCAATGCAGATACCATTCGGAAGAAGTTAGCCTTGCTTCATCTCAGACGAAGAAATATCTTCAGTGTTTAAACTTTGTTCTTGAGCAAAAATATCATAATCAAATGATCCTTTGAGAAAGGGCAAAGGGCAAAGCTAAATAGCAAATGTCCGTGGCACCATCGGTCTGACGGTCCATCATTACTTTATACTTTTCCCATTGTCTTGTCAAATATCATGTCCATGGGCAGGGAGAAAGAAGGGCTTTCCATTGTTTGCTTAACCTCTAAGAAAGCTTTTCAAAATTCAAAAAATATTTTCCTCTTGTAAAAATGGAGAGATTTTAAGAAAGGGGAAATAAATTTTCAAGACAGTTTATGAGATTCATTTAGCGGAGGAGGTTGGTTCTTGAAAATTGATTCAACTTTGAGTAAGGACTATTGGGATGGGGAAGGAAGAGGTTGGTTCTCCACTCTCTAGTTTTTATTCACTGTGAATGGGAAGGGAGAGAGGGCCCAGTTGGAACCATAGATTTAGTTTTGACTCTATCCGAAGAAAATAGAGGAGATGTTTTGGTTGGACGAGGAAAGACATTTCAGCTCTAACGGAGGTGGTGCTGATTTTCAAGTAGCGACATTACTAAAAACACTAGCATTGGAAAAGGTTTTAATGATAAATCAATAACTTATAACAGAAAGGGTATTATTGTCATTTTCAATATATAACAATCACATGGTGTGGCATGTAAGAAGATTGTGATGAAACCCTAACCGTAGAGGAATAATTAGTCAATTGTTAGAAACAATGGGAGTACTTTAAGACTATATAAACAGTAAAAATAGAATTTGTCAATTAACTAAACAGTAAGAATAATTTAAAAAATTTACCCAAATATTTATGCAAATGAACTCACACTACGACCTCCAAAAGAAAAACAAAAGCATTTGGAGATTTTGGGGTGGCAATTTAAAGTTTACGATCAAACCAGTTTAACCCACCTAACAAATCCATTTCGTAGAATGCATTTAATGATCAAAACCAATTTAAAGGGTACAGATAAAAATGGCTCTCTCTCTCTCTCATCCCCTTTCATTTGCTCCCTCCCTTTGTTAAAATTGTTGGTGACATACTGACATGGGTAAATGGGACAAGTAAATGGACCGAGGGTGTTTTGGGTTGGATCCACTCCAATCCAATTAAAATATGTAAACTACCATTTTAACATATAGATTAAAACTTACTGTATTGTTTGAAAAATTATTTAAAGTATCTTTTAAGATTTTCAGATAATTGACAAAATCTTCCTTTGTTAGTGTCATTACAATCTAGTTTGTTTAATTTTTTAATTCTAAAATTATCATTTTTGTGGTCAATTTTGCACTTTATTGCTCTTCAAATTTTCAAAATATAATCCAATGACAAATCCTCTTTCTTGTTTCTGGTTTTGATGTTTAAGTCAAAATCGGATAAGAAGTCCCTGGCCATTTATTGCACTCTCAAAGTTGGAAAGGAAGAATCTGGGTTAAACTTGGATGTAAATGTCTGGGTAATAATATGTAACAGCATGAATGACTTGATTTTTAATGGCGGAATCTTTATATGCCATGTAGCTACATTAGCATGCAATCTCATTGACTCTTGGTTTGTTGGCCATCTCCCCTGACTTTTGGTGGTGGATTTATTTATTTATTTTCTTTTTTTCCTTCTAATCCTTCCAAAGTCGTGATTCAAAGTCGCCTAAATAAGATTTACCTTTTTTTTTCGATTTTTTTTAATTTCCTTCCCTATTTCTCATTCTCAGTTCCAGTTGAAAGTTTTCCAATCTTCAATTTGAGTTTCTCTTTCTAGTTACCATTATTTCATCTGCTATGAAGGAATGAATTTCCATTGTCTCGTTTTTTTTTTTCTCTAAAACTTTGATGGTTAATGAAATTTCGTCATTTATATGCTATGTTCTCCTATTTTACATCTTCTAAGCTCCTCTATGGCGCGATGAATCAAAACTGGTGAGGGATAAAATGACCCTCCAATTACGAGCTGCCACATGGTGGTCAAAACCTTCTTATGATATCTCGGCGTTACACGTGGCATGATCTCGACAAATCGGCTTATGAAGAAACAAGCCTTTCCCATTGTTTGATGAGCTCTATAGAGCACTGGGGAGAGTGTATAGGCTCCCGTCGATGTTATAGAAGATGTGGAGAGGGAGAAAAAATATAACAACCCCCTTACAAAGAGTGAGTCAATTAATATAGAATAAACCCAACATGTTGGGGTGAGTTCGTTCAAAATGATGGGATGGTTCTTAATCTGTCACATAGTCCCCTAATGATCAACATCAATTAGGTGCTACACTAGTACCTCGCCCTTATAGATGAGTTGGCTAAAGTGGGACAATACTTCATTGCAATAGGGGAAAGGCTTTCTCAAGTGACAGATGCTCTTGTTGACAAAAAGGGTAGGGAGATGAGGATGAAGTCTTTGACGAGATAACGAAGGTTCCCAATTTAAACATGAATGAAGGGGACCTTGGCGGCTCGGACCAGTTTGCACTCAACTCGCAAGGGCCTCGCCATATGCCCAAACTACGCCTCCAGTTGAACCCAGAAAGCCAAACGATTAATAGAATAGCTGAACAAGGGCCTGGATGTTGTAAATGTCACAAAGAATGAATAATTGGAGGGAATATAATAGCATACACTGGACACCAAACCAATTAAGAACTTCCAAACGGATCGCGTGAACAAAAATCCCCGCATAAAAATAACACTGGTCTAAACCAGGGATAACACTTTGATCTCCACCATGAGAAATAAGAAAAGAAATCCCTTTTGGTAAGGATAATCGAAGAATAAATGGAAAATTCATAAAAAAAGAAACATGAGAACAAATTCAAATATGAGATCGTTCTCTTTTCCCATTCAATATCCAATTGAAGGTAACATATTCCATCTATGAGAATTAAACAGGGAAGAACAAAAACACCAATCGTTCCATATTAACAAAGAACCACCAAAAACAGAAAAATCTAAATCTAAACCCCCTTACATTCATACAACCAAAACGACCGAAATCCTAACCACCGAACCCGTACAGAGTCCTGCCCTGTCTCTTGAGAGCATAGACGACGTCCATGGCAGTGACGGTCTTCCGGCGAGCGTGTTCAGTGTAGGTGACGGCATCACGAATGACGTTTTCGAGGAAGATCTTGAGAACACCACGAGTCTCCTCATAGATGAGACCACTGATACGCTTGACACCACCACGACGAGCCAAGCGACGAATGGCAGGCTTGGTGATACCTTGGATGTTATCCCTCAGAACCTTACGATGCCTCTTCGCTCCTCCCTTTCCCAATCCTTTACCTCCCTTCCCTCTTCCTGACATTTTCTCCCTTCCTCAGCAACTCTTTTCTATCCCGCGAGTTTTCGCCTTTTCTTTTCCGTCCTCTGCTTCTGTGTCTCTTCGCTTCGCTTGGTTTCTCTAAAATTGACCGAGCGGTCTTTTATAGCTTTCTCCGACTTGGACATCGCGTTTACGCCGTTGGATTAGGTAGCGATCCGTGTAGTTGTTGAAGAGAGAGCTGTGGTCCGTCAGATCAGAAAGAGCGGGGATCGTGGCTTTGTTTTTTCTCCCGCTCTCTTTATGATTTCGCACTTTCGCCGAGTGGTAGATCACCTTTGTTTTCTGCTTACACTCAACGTACAGCACGTGCACCCAACAAAGGTTGGATTAAATTACGAAAATGCTATCACATAATACAGATTTTGACTACGATACCCTCGTTAGATGCTGCACGATGCGATTTCCTCGTCAAGGCCCAGATCGGTTTCCAACATCAATCCCTGGTCCAGACCATTGATTTGATGGACATCAATATTCAATTGATTCCAAGAATCGATATTTTACAAAGGAATCCGGATCATACCAATATAATCTCACACCCTATATCTCCTACATGGCGGCTCTTACTTTTATGGTGGGTCATAGTTTCACGGTGGGATGGAGGTAGAATCCGCTCCGCATAAAGACCGCTTCACTTCGACTTCAGGCACATCCCATCTGTGAGAAGCAGATCTGGTCTCGGTGAGATGCGTTGTGTGAGGCACCATTTGTGAGGAGCAGATTTGGTCTCGATGAGATGCATTGTGTTAAATCAAATTAGCAGATCTCAACTCTGAAAAAAAGGATTTTGAATTTTCTTGCCCACAAGAACTCTGCCCTCAATGAGATGTTCCCTATGTAACCATGTTCATACCATTCATAAAGTATTGCAGATTTGTATTGGAAAAAAACATAAAAATTTGAGATATTCCCAATTGTAAAAGGTTGTGAGAACATTATGAGCACGGTCCTGTAAGTACCGATTGATTGATCCTAAGCAAAAGGACTACAATAGCCGGTGTTTTTCTCCAATCCCATTATTAAAAAAATCAAATCCCATTTTTACAAGATCTGCTTCCCTAGGGCAAGCCTGTGCCCACTCCGTTCCAACCACCATTTGCAACCTTGCATTGGGAATATCTCCCCATGAAATAAAACACGTAAGTATGGAGATATTCTCAATGCAAGGCTGTAAAGGCTGTTCTAGTGGGCTTTGCCCTGACGGAAGCTAAACTCCACTTTTACTCATTGGGGCTGGGTAGCCCATCCAACCCTCATGCAATGCAGGATTCGACGCCAAGCCTCCGCTAAAACCGATAGGAGGCCTTATCAACCAACCATCTCAGTTTGAATTAGGTTCTATTAGATTTCAATACGGATTGGAATTTAGACCATCAATTATACTATTTAAAAGAAGTAATTTGTCGTATAATAGAAGGGCTAGAAGAGCCTAGAGCAAACTAAAAATAACATGGATAAAATTAGTAATGAATGATTTAAGCACTAATAATTTAATAGTGGATATGGCTTTAAATAGAACGAAATAGTGAAATAGGTTTCGTGTAGCTGACCCCATTTAGTTGGGATAAGGCATGGATGATGATGAATAAGATTTGAATTTAGGAACTGTTTGTTTTGCGGGAATACAGATATGAAATATTCGGTTGGCAAGAATTGGAATCTCATTCCTATTCTTAGTGGAATGGCATTCCCCCATTTAAGGGAATGGTCATTCCCTCCCCCTCTCTTAGGAATGAGAATCCATCCCAGCCAATCCTCATTTCAATTCTAATTCCGACGGATTTTGATTTTGACTCCAATTTCGATTTTAAATGCAAACCAAATGGATCCTTAGTTCAATTCCATTAACTATCCTCAAAATAAAGAAAAACTAAACTTACTAATTATAAAGTAATATAGTTTTATTTAATTATGTATAATCTATGTATATATGCATGGGCTTGAGTATTAATCATTGGGATTTTTTTAGTAAAACAAAAATTCTTTAACTAGAGTAATAAAGAAAACAAATTACGAAAAAACATAACATGCCAACAACAAAACTAAAAACTAAAGAGCAGTAAAAAAGGATAGAGTAAGCTAACCTAACTGAGCAAGTGTCTACCCAAAGACCAAACAAAACTAAACCTTTTTTAGCTAGAAAATGGGCTGATATGCTTGCCTCTCTTAACAAAAGAGTAAGACAGAGAAGTCTGTAGCAACTTCAAAACAATCAGAAACCAAAGAGACATTGACTAAGCAACCAACACCATCGCCAGAGATCCAACAAACTGAAAGAGAGATTATCACTCTCCAAAATCACCTTTGAAAAGTTGAACAACATAGCAAACAAAGACCCTCAAAACAAGCCATCTCTTTAGCTTGTCACAAATAAGGGACCACACTTTGTAGCCAAAGAAAACCCATTGTTGTCACGAGCCACCAGGGCAAAACTAGCAAATCTAGCAGTTGCAAAGACTCCATATATATACATTATTCTTAATCCAAGTCTCTCCAGGACGTAACCAATTGAGCCAGCACCCACTCTAGTACCATTAGAAGGGAGCAGTGTTTGTGATGATAAAACTCCCTGAATCAACAACTCCATATATGTCCATACCATGTCAACAAAAAATTTAGGATTTGAATTAGAACCACAAAAAATAGAATCATTTCAAAATCCAGATCTTCCATATATTCAAAGCAAAATATAAAAGGAGTTCCTCTATCCTATCTTTGATAGAATTGCAAACTTTAAACTAGTTTGAAAGCCAAGTTTTGAAACATAAGCCTTCACTACTTGTAGGGAACTTCAAACCCATCCCAGCAACCAACACCTACTAGCATTCACACAAGAGCACAAAGCATGGAAAACCGACTCTTTACTAGAAGAGCGCACTAGACACAAAGCATTATCAAAGGTCTTCCTTTTCACCACTTTTTTGAGGGAAAATCTATGATACCGAAAAGATATGGTATAGAAAGAATTTTGACCAATCAAAACACACCCATGAATTTTGATAAATAACACTTAATTGACTATCACGTTTTAAGATACCAGTTGATCGGTAAAAAATTTCACAATTGATATCTTTCCCATATCATAGTCGAATTGCAATATCAGCCCTCTAAAGAAAATTCTTTATTTTTTGAGGAACTCTCAACATCCGAATTGAGGGCCACATCTTATCCTCAATCCCTTTATGTATTACAGTATCAACTTCTTGTTTTGCCAAAATATACGCAAACTGTATAGTGAAGATACCTCTCCTCACATGGGTCCAAACAATTTAATACTCCCACTCAAAACCAGGAATTTTAATTGCTAGGATCTTTTCAACAACAATAGGGAAAAGTATTGTTGCTTATATCAAACTTCCACGCTCTAGTATTTGAATCTATAAGATCACTACCTATGGAAATTTCTATACTTCTACCTACAGGACCAAAAATCCTGAAGTCAGGCAACCCTGACACTGAAGGGTCACTCTAGATTGAAACAACCCTTCCTGAAAGTATAAACCAATAGAAACTTCCCACAAGAATCTCTCTCCCCTTAGATTATGTTTGGTTTGAAGGAAAAAGGTAGGAAAAAGAAAGAAAAGTCAGGGAAACCTATACAAGATTTATAAAGGCTTCTCTAACTTTCTTTTCTTTTCCCTACTTTTTCCTTCAAACCAAACATAGCATTAAGGATGCTTTGCCACCCCCAAGACCCTGACTGAGGCAAATCATCATTAATGAAAGATCTAATTTTAATATATTTTTCTCTTATGAATTTAACCCACAAACTCTCTTCTCCCTTAGCCAATTAAGCAAGGGAGCTTTATAGGACCCCTAAAACCCAAACCACCTGATGGAGGATGATTTGGCCCGACCTCGTAGAACGAGGACACGTGTGTGTGACCTGTCTCAATGAAAAGCTCAGCCTGACAACGCAACCGCAATTCGGTGGGAGAGAAACGCCGAGTCCAACGCTGGCCACTCGGCGGGTTAAGCAACTCGCCGAGGACTAACACTTGGCCAACCATGACTCCCACCAAGTGTGGGAGGTCCCGAGCTCCCCTTGAGGCTCGAGCTCCCCCTAAGGGGCTCTAAGCTCTCCCTTCCTAAGAAGGGAGCACCCCGGTTTTTGGCTAAGTGTCCAGAGGGAGAAGCACCTCAGGGCAGCACCGTCTCCAGCGCAGGCACCTCGGCACCTCGGTACCGAGACAAACCTGCCCCAGGTAGTCCAGCATACAGTAGCTCGGCAGGCTATAGGAAGGCCTATCTGACATCCGTACCTGCCGGACCTGGTGGCAGGACTCTGATCCCTTGCCAGGCGGCGTTCTGCCTGCCAGGCGGTGTTCTGTTTGCCGTCTCTGGAAAGCATGACACGTCTATCAAGTCCGTACTTGGCGATAGCAGTCTGTAGCAACAACCTACGCCTGCCACACCTGCCTTGGCAGTAATGGCTAGGGCGGTGGCGGTTATGCCAGGTATGACCGAGCTCCGACATAAAAATAACTCCAACTCTCACGAAGATGAGGTATTGAAGCTTAAGCACTTTCAGCACTCTTATTCTCGATTCTTTCTTTGAGATTTCTCCAGTTCTAACTTAACCATCGGAGTGTTCCCACCGGGAGAGCTCCCTGGGAACCCTTCACCTTCTCCTTCCTCTCAAGTGTCGTCCGTTCCAGCCAGAAGTCAAGTCACAGCCAGCTAGGAGTGCCCAGATTGTGCAGCATCATTTGGCGTCGTCTGTGGGAAACACTTCCAAAAGCCTCCCTCCGATCTCTGCGAAACTTCTCTCTCTTTTACTCACCAGCACCACCGACATCCATGGCTTCTTCTAGCAACTCCGAACGCCGAAACACCCCAGAGGAGCAACTCCAACTGCCCACCATTTGCATCGGGCAGTTCACCATCCCCCTCTCTGCGGACGGGATTCCTACCCTGAACATGCCTACAACGGTGGCACCCATATCTGTTCCGCCGCCGCTGCAGTCGGGACGACCTTCGCCGAACCCACCATTCTCCCTCCGGTGGCCGGCCAAGGCCAACTTGATGACTTGATGCGGTGCAGGCGGGCCATGCAGGCCCAGATGCAGCAGTTTCAACAACTT